ATTTGTTCTCTATGTTGATGATTCAAAGCCTATATTTGATTATTTTGTTCTTTACTGATTTTGATGTAGATGTGAAATTTTTTCCTGTGTAATTCGTTTCCCCCCCAACTGTTTACCTCCTATTGCTTCCCTTTTATTTCTGTCTGTATCCTACCCAGCAACCTTCCCCCATACTCCAGTCTTATTATTTCATCTTTTGTTTTATTGCATCCTATGTAATTTCACTGATAGCAAAAGCAGTTGCCTAAAATTTATTGTTTCTATTAGTAAAGACTATTCAAAACTTCTTTCTTATTTTCCTATAATCTAAGTGCTGTTTATTTTCTTTTTTTACTGTCACTGAATTTTTTGAAAAACCTCTAGTTGCTTTTTCTCTGCACTTAGTTATAAGCAATCCTGTTTTAGATTGTATTTGTACCCATTGTTTCCAAACAAATAGGGTGGGTATGGTGTCTTTGTTCCCTCTTTGTATTTAACTAGTTGCTCCTAGAACCATGTGAACCATCTCAGATCCTATTCTGGAATTCTGATAAATACTTATACTGCTGTCCCTGGCCTGGTCTATTGTGCCTCATGTTATTACTTGGTGAAGTTTTGCTGGATCATGAACACTCTGCTGCTCCCCGTTATCTGGCTGTCAGAGTGCACAAAAGGCCAGAGCCCCCAGAGTGTGCTTCTCCCACGACTCTTCCTGTCTGTGCTCCTTCCTCCACATCTCAGCACACAGGGTTTAGGAGACAACTCTCATCCACTTCAGACCCTAGCCATTTAATCCCAGCTGGGAATGGAAGGTGTATTAGTCTGTTTCTGTTGCTTATAACAGAATATCTGAAACTGGGTAGTTAATAAAGAAATGAAATTTATTTATTACAGTTCTAGAGCCTGGGTAGTCCAAAGTCCAGGGAACACATCTGGTGAGGGCCTTCTTTTGGCTGAGAACTCTCTACAGGGTCCTGTGGCAGCCAAGGTGTCACATGGCAAATGGCTGAGCAGGAGAGAGCTAACCTGCTCACTTACCTTCCTTATAAAGCCATCAGAACCATGCCCATTACTACATGAATGGATCAACCCATTCACAAGGGCACAGTCTCCACAATTTAAACCTCTTAAAGGCCCCACCTTTTAAATACCATAATTGGATTTCTTCCTCTTTTAATGCTGTTATGATAGGGGGTCAAGTTTTCAATACATGAACCTTTGAGGGACATGTTTGTCCTATAGCAGAAGGTTGGAGAGCTGTTTTTTGAGAAGTCAACATAGAAAATACAGCAAAGATGAACGGGACTGAAATGATACTGGCCTTTGCAGGAAACAGTGATTTATGTTTCAAAAGTAGGAGCATATAGTAGATATGTAGAAATTGTCTACACCACTGGACTCAGCCAAAAATTGATTGGTTCACAATCTTTCTAGGATCTGGCAAAGTATTGACCTTTGAGCTTTCTTTATAATGTTATTATTATATTGGCATTCTTTATGTATTTTTTTATAGTTGATCTTGTGAGAAGAAGGGGCAAATCAGCCACTTTTAAGATCCCTCCCTACTCCATACAAATCTCCCTTGTGTGCTTCTGGGTCCATACTGTCTCCTGTTCCCCTTACCTCTCAAATGATTCTTTTTTACTTTTATTTGTGGGTTCCTCTTTCTCTACCTGCCACTAAAATATTTATGTTGCCTAAAGCTTTTTCTTAACTTTCATCTCAAACTAAATTTCTCTTGGGTTTTTTAATACAAATAGTCATGATTTAACCACCAACAATACTCACATCTTTATTCTGACTTTATTTTTGGAATCTAAAGGCATATTTTTATAGTCTACTTAGTATTATTACTTATTTAATCACCACTGTGCTCAACTTAAAATGTTAAAGCCTAAACTTCTCTTGCTAGTCAAATCAACTTCTGTAATTTTATTTAAATGTCAATGAATGGCACTCTTTTTCCATTTAGATTCAATTAGAAAATTGAGAGCTATTCTAATCTTCCATATCTCCTTCACTTCCCATATCCAATCCATCTTTAAGTTCTGCTGATTCTACTCCTAAATGTTTTCCTTATTCATTCCCTTGGTCTCCCTTTTTTGCTGCTATCCTGTTTCAGGAATTTACTACCTGACATCAGGTCTATTCTTTTGGCCCCTTCAGGGGTTTTCAGTTAGTAAAGAGATACTGTCTCAGTATCCCTGATCCATCCTCCACAAGTCAACCAGAGAAATTTTGCTACAATGCTGATCTTATCATGCCTGCTTATTATTTATTTGTGTCTCCTGATTGCTTTCAAAGTCAGATCTCAGTCCACTTCTCCAGTCCTGCCTCTCCCTGCTTCTAGCCTTGCACCTTATTCTATAACCGTAAAGAACTAGGATCCTTCTCTGTCCATGATGACACTACATATGGTGTTTCCTCTGACGGGGCTATTCTTCCATCCTCTACCCGTGTATTACATTCTGATTCATTTTTCAAGACTTAGTAATCATGTCTTTTTTGAGGCATTTTCCTAGGCTGGGTTCATTCTGCATCTTTTTGTAGTTTTCCCATAATGCCCTTTGCATGCACATATCATGGTCTGTATCACATTTATTTACTTGTTGCTTGTCTTTCTCCCCCACTTGTCCGAGGACTCTTTAAGGATAAGAACTGTGTTTTATTCAATCCTTATTCACAGTGCCTGATGCAAAGCACATGTTCAATACACATAGCTCATTGAATGAATGACTTCTTTTTCTTGTTGAGAATTGTAAAGAGAACAAACGAAGGTACTTTAAAAAGTTCATAGAAAGATTCAAATTATCTTTTAATTCTATAAGTGCCCTTATATCGTGAAAGTGAAGGTGGAAGGTAGCTAATGTGCACAGATGCTTACGAATGCCACATGTTTGTATTCCGAGGAGACTCATGTTGAGCTGTAAGTGGCATGGAATGAAACAGGCACGGTTAAGGATTCTCCGAAGAGGCTGCTGTCATGGTTCTTTCTCTCTTGGTTTGATCATTCTAGGGAGATTTGTGATTACTTTACGACTTGCACAAATTGTGGTGGGCATGACTTGGGACTCAGAGGGTCTAATTTTACTATTAGCTTTCTTATGTCTGTGATGAAGCCATTGAACATTTCTGGCTTATTCTTCGTCATCTACAAGCAGAGTTTTGGACTAAGCCAGTTATTTTCAAACTTATAAAAACCATGAAACCACTTTCTAAATTCAAAATCTTATGCATAAGGCCACTGGATGAGAGCAGAGCTGCTCCGGTTGACCGCTGAGGGTTTTATGTTTGACTTTTCTTTCTCTTCAGTGGCTTCTGTAAACACTTTGTGAATTAAAGTTTGCAAATTATTTGACCAATACTCTCTAAATGTATTTTCAGTTCTCATATTCAATTATGTTTTTTAAAATTAGAAAACGTTTTCTTTGGCATGAGGTGCACCAAAGCTGAACTTTCTCCATTTTGGTAAGAGCTGATATTTAGCTGGTATGCAATGATATTTGGTATTAGTGTATGGGATGTCTAAGGCCAATGTTCTTTCTAATTACTCCGATGTCTAATTATGTTGATTGATTGATGCCAACTCTGTACTAATTGTTAAATACTTTGTGTGGTTACTTTGGTTTCTAATTAATGCAATAACATGTGGATGTAGGAAAGGAAAAATTGTATATTAGCAGTTTTTCTTTTCTCTCCTCTCTACCTCCTTCCTTCCTCCTTTCCTTTTTAAAAATCATTTTTAATTATTCATTTGTTTGTCTTTAAATAATCTTTAGATATTGAAATTATACCTCAATTTTTACAAGTGCATTTTTAAGCTTTTATTTTCGATTTCCTACCCTAAAATAGTATCTTTCAAATATAGTTTTTTTGTGTTCACTTTGTTTCTTAAAGTAAAATAAATTTTTGCTTCAACAATTAGCTTGCCTAGTAAAAGGCTAAGTACAACTATTATTAATTACTCTGTTAAGCATTCCTTTGATACCCAGTCTCTAACGTACATATGAGATAATTGATTTTGTCAGACTCAGGTTTCTTATCATGGTAATATAGACAAGAATAGATAATGTAAAATTTCATAAATTATTCAAACATAAATTCTACCATCAGAAAATGTTATCATGAGAAATTATGTGATGCTTTTTTTTTACATTTGAGAAGTGACATTCATACTGCTTTTAACTTTTTGCTATACACATATAATGTAAATTTGAAAATAGTACATCTTATCAGAGTAACTTAGCCTGAATCACAGTAAAAGGTGAGCCTAAATGCTTTTAAAGTGAAAATATGTTAATGAATCATAAACATTGAATATAGTAGATTCACTATAATCACATTTCAATAGAACGGAATGATTTAGCCATGTTCATGGTAATTATCTACTGATGCTTGAAGTTATGACTTAAAGTTAAAAATTTTTATTATATTACAGCTTCAGTTTTTGCAAGAACTGACTTAGAATCTACCAACTTTTTTGGAATACATAATTTCATTTTGAAATTAAAATGATGGGATGCAGTTTAGTATTTTGCTAAACTCTTGTATCCATGTGTATTTGTGTAGCTCATCAGTGGTATCCAGTTGCCTCTTACTAACTCATCATCTAACAAAGCTGACACACTAGTCATTATAGAAGTTTTTGGTGTTCCGAATGATCAAATGAAACAGCAGACGCGTGTAATTAAAAAAAATGGTGAGCCCTAATATATCTTATTGAAATTCTATTAGACTTCTTATTGGAAAGCTTACAAATTATATACTGGTAGAGGTTTTATACATATTTATTATTCATAAGGCAATGATTTTGCATTATGTTCAAGATTACCAAAATGTCATATGCAGCAAAAACAATTTGATAATGAGTATGTTGTTTACGTATATTTTCAGAATATGGATTCAAAAATATAATCTCACCTGCAAAATTATTACTTTTTAAGAAACTTTTACCTCTTTTTAATGTTTTTCTTCATATCACTCAATTAAGAAAGACATTTTGACAGCTGCAAATCTACTTAGCTTCTAGTCTCAGTGTTAAAAAGCTTGTGATTGTTCTGACACAGCATATTACACATTTTTACCTCACTGCTTGAATTATTTTAGATCAAAAGTCTAGGAATGCCATAGAAACCTACTGATACAATATTTGGATTCATAATTCAGTCATTTTTTGCCAGAGGGAAGTGTAGGATTGGAAGGAATGACTTCAGTAAGATTTTCAGCATTCCGGCATCTCATGACATTTTATGTAGCACAGTACTGGCCTTGTCATTTATTCTCTGAGGTTGAAATAACTATGGAAATTTGAAAAGGACAGGTTTCTGGGATTCACCCTTAGTCAGAATCATCAGAAAACTTACAGTAATCCATTGCTTGTTCCCATCACCCTCTACTTGAATCTTCATGGCAAAATGCATAAAACTTTAATTTATTCAGTGCACGTCTTGTAGTACTATGATTTTAAAGTTTTAATTACATTGCCGAGTTTTACCAGAATAAACCTGCAGATATCCAATTTGGGTTAGCAAAGTTTACTTAGCCCCTGCTATGCTAAAAGCCTGATGCTAAGTATCAAGAGACTCAAAATCTCTGTTTATTAAATGCATTGTTAGGTACATCCCACTTAACTCCATTGTAGAGAG